CTGTTACCATGGTTTAGCATATGTAGTGTGTTCTTCTCTTCTTGTAGTTTGAAAGGTTTATTTCTTCTTTTTAGATGCTGCTGTAGAAATATTTATCAGTATGTAGATTTTATCTATCCACAACCTCTTGTAATAACAGATTTAGACAGTATCTGTTGATGTCCTCTTGAAAGATCAGATAATGAGCACACTGTACTTTGTACTTTTTTCTCTTTATTCCTCTAATTATTTTTTTATAGTATGACTTTTAGTTCTAGTGATGATCATTATAATACACAATGCACTTTAGATTATCATTTGTCAATTTACTTATCTTTAAATGGCTATTGATTTGTTAAAGAAACACAAAGTGAATTCTCCCAAATTTTGGCTTCTTTCCTTATTATTTTAACAAGTTATAATTTACTGGGCTTGGGTGGTGGCTCAGTGGCCGAATGCTTGTGTAGATTTAATCCCCAGCATCACATATCAACGAATAAAATAAAGGTTCATTGACAACTAAAAAAAATTACCTATGCAACATTTCCTTTCTCTAATTGTACATTCTATAACAGTTTTTATTCATTGTCTATATATGTGTGTGCATATATACATATGTGTATATATATTTATTTTTTCAGTATAGTGGCTCAAACCCAATGCTGCGTGCATACAAAACCATGATCTCTCTCTACCACTGAACTACACTCCAGCCCCTCTTTATATCTTTAAATTAATCCCATGTTTCTATGCTTTCTCCTTTCATTTCTTACTTGGGAAAATATTTTGATATTATTGCTTCCCTTCCTCCTATCCCCAAGAATGATTAATTGTTATATATTCATGATCTGATTCTAACTTAAAGATTATTTTAAATGCTTGTTATTTGAGAATGCCTCTTGCTTAAAAAAAATGTGTGCCTATTGACTTTATATAATTGCTGAATAGTTGCTGAGCTGGGTGTAAAGAGTAATATTACTGTGCTTTTCCTTGGTTCTCTCAAGAGTATTACCACCTGCCTAATGGCACTGAGCATGGTGTGGGTCAGTATGGGGCCAACCTGATTTGCTTCTCCCACCACCCTGCCACATTCAACCTGATTTTTTTCCCTTGGGAAATGCGTCTGCTAATTTTGAAGTTTTATGAACTTACCTAAGACATGTTTCAGTGTATATCATCAATTATGTTTTTATGCCTGGAATATATTAGAATGTTTGATCTACATACAGATTCAGTTCTTACCTTTTTTAAAGAGAGAGAGAGAGAGAAATTTTTTAATATTTATTTTTTAGTTTTCAGCGGACACAACATTTTTATTTGTATGTGGTGCTGAGGATCGAACCCAGTGCCCCGAGTATGCCAGGCAAGCGTGCTACTGCTTGAGCAACATCCCCAGCCCCTCAGTTCATACTTTTTACAAGGAAAAAAAAGGTTTTTTTTTTTGTTCTGCCTATGAATATCTTTCACAATTCTGTGTTTTGGGTTCCTTATTTCCATGACACAATTTGTCTTTGGTTTGGTCTGTCGTCTGCTACCCGCTTGCTTGCTTTAGTTCCCCTCTGCCTTTGTTGTGGTTATCTTATACTTTCTTTTCTTTGTCAATAATTTGATTCTCAACTAATTCTCTACTTCTTAAATGTAGTCAATGTTTTTGTTTGGTTTGATTTCAATTCTTAATTTATATCTGAAGTTCTTAGGTCTGAAGTTTTCATTTAACTCTGTTGTTATCATCTCTATTTTTAAAAAATATTCTGTCTCTATTAGTTTCACATGTATTCTCACATATATGCTCTATAACATAAAAAATTCCTATGGCAATTTTCTTCTGTTCAGTTATTTTTCTTCTCATTAAGCTTTGTCGTCTGTAGCATATGTCACTATTAGCTTACTCAATATCCATTCTTCCCAATTGACTTACGTTCTGACCATTCATTTTATTCAGTACAATAATGTTCCCAGCTAAAAGGGAACATTTCCCAGATTCTTATAAGCTAATAGTGGCTGATGCTCTTCTTCTTAGCTTCCTAATGGCACAAGGACATTTAAATTAAATGTCCTTCTTCATACTTTTCCTTGTGCAGGTGCAAATATCAAGGGTTGACTCACCCTTTGCCACATTGAAGGTCTTAATAAACATTTTAAAAACTTTTTCTCAGGCGCAGTGGCACACATCTGTAATCCCAGTAGCTTAGGAAGCTGAGACAGGAGGACTGCAAGTTCATAGCTAGCCTTAGCAACTTAGCCAGGCCCTAAATAACTTAGTGAGATCCTGTCTCAAAATAAAATACAAAAAGGGCTGAGGGTGTGGCTTAGCGAGTCAAGTGCCCATGAGTTCAATCCTCAGTTACAAAATATATATTTTTAAAACTTTTTATTCAGATTTTTGCACACTATATATGTGCATTAGGAGGTTTGAATTAGAAATTATATTTTACTGCAATGAAGTCAAGATGAATGGATTCAAGGAAATCTTTCTCTCACTTTGAGTTGCATATTTTAATTGTATGACATAAATTTCTGCCTTTCCCTTTGTTTGAGTCTAAGGTATTTTGACTGCTCTGGTCTTATTTGTTATTCAATCATTAGGTTTGGGGAAAGGGAGAGTTTCAGATGTTTTTCTTCTACCATCTTAACTTGGAAGTCTGTATGAGTACTTTAAATAAATTTCAATCAAAGTAATATAAACAAATGGTCACAAATCAAATCATGCAAAAATATTGTGTTAAGAAACAACTGAGCTCAGCTCCAGGGTGGCTTAATGCAAACATTACTCCCCAGAGATTTTTTTTCTTTTTCTTTATAAATGGAGGAAAAATTTACATACTGTAAAATGCACATAGATGAAATGTGTAGTTTGATGAGTTGTGACAATTTCTCAGACCCCTATAACCCCTTATTTTAAATATAGAACATTTTCATCACCAGAGAAAGATCACTTTTGCAATTCCCAGTTAATCCTACCCCCATCTCAGAGGAAATCACCATGATTTTCTTTCACTATAAATTAGTGTGTCTACTGTAGACTTCATATAAATTGAATCATACAGTGTGTACTCTTCTAGCTTCTTTCACTTGGCATACAATTTTTGCACTTCATTTATAATGTAGCATGTATAAACAGTCTATTACTTTTTCTTTGTTTTATTTTATTTTTTAATTTTTTTTTAGTTGTAAATTGACTCAATGCCTTTATTTGTTTTTATTTGTTCTATGCTAGCATTGAACTCAGTGCCTCACACTTGCAAGGCAAGCGCTCTACCACTGAGCTACAACTCTAACCCGGTCTATTGCTTTTCATTGCTGTGAAGTATCTCATTATCTGTTTCTACTAATATATATTCTAACTGACACATGGTAATTTTGTATGTCTTCCCTTATTTGTTTGTTATTAATATATATTTTTTTAATTTGATACATAGTAATTATACATATTTATGGGGTACAGTTGTAGCATTTCAACTATTTAATTTATTTATCCATTCTCTTGGTGATAAACATTTATGTTGCTTCTAGCTTAGAGCTGCTTTGAATAAAACTATGAACACTCTTATACATATGTTTCTACATACTTATAGTTTCATTTCTCTTGAGGAAATACCTAAAGGTGGAATTTGGGGACATAAAATAGGTGTACTTTTCTTTAAATTTCCAAACTGATTGTATCATTTAATATTAACCCCAGCAATGTGTGGGAGTTTTGATTGTTACATATCTTCAACAACGTTTGGTAGTCTTTTTCATCTTTACCATCTTAAGGATTATGTGGTATGTGCTATTGCGGTTCTAATGTGTTTCTCTGATGACAAATAATTGATGTTAAACACTTTTTTTTTTACATGATCATTAACTATTTCTATAACTCTCTTCATGAAATGCCATTTCAGGGTATTTTTTAAGCTGATTTATTTTGTTTTTAATTTTGAGACAGGGCCTCACTTAATTGCTAAAACTGGCCTTGAACTTATGATTCTCCTGTCTCAGCCTCCCAAGTCTCTGGAATTATAGGCATATGCCATCCATCACACTGGCCAATTAGCTGTTTTTTTTAGTGGGTTACTTTTATTATTCAATTGTAGAAATTGTTTATTATTCTGGACACAAGTCCTTTATTAGATATAGGTATTGTAAATATTTTTCCCCAGAATGCAGCTGCCATATGTTTTCTTAATGGTAACTTTGGATGGGTAGAAAACTTAACTTTTGATGAGGTATACATTTATCTTTTCTTTGTTATTTTGTGGATAGTGAATCTTAGCTAAAAACTTACCAGCTAACCCATATTTTCTCCTGAAGGTTTTTTCTTCCATAATTATGCCTATGAATTAATTTTATTTAGACTATAAGGAATGAGTATGTATGTATGTATGTATGTATGTGTGTGTGTATATATATAGACAGACAGATGCACACACATACATTCTGCTCCAGCACTGTTTCTTGGTAAGACCTTCTTATCCCCACTCAATGGCTTTGACACCTTTGTCAGAGGTCAGTACCACATTGTCTTGATTACTGTAACCTGATACTATGTCTTGGAAGAATTTGTGTTTTCTAACTTTGTTCTTTCAAAACTCTCTTGGCTACCCTAGGTCTTTTACATTTTGTATACATTTTAGAATCAGTTTTATCAAGTTCTTTTTGAAGGTATTCTGTGATTTTGACTGAGATTGCAGGAAATTTGTAAATCAAGATTAGAGGAATGAACATTGTGTTAGTATCGAGTCTTTGAGTCAACAAACCATGGACATAGAATGTTTATTTATTTAAGTCTTCTTTAATTTTCTTAACCATATAATTTTCATTATAGAGCTCCTGAATGTAATTTTATTAACTTTACCTTAAGTATTTTATGATTTTCAATGCTATTGAAGATGGTATTTTAAATTTTATTTTCCAGTATTTGTTGTTTAAGGTTATGGTCAATTTTGTATGTTAATTTGGCTATGATTTTTACTAAATCAATCACTAACCTAGGTGTTGCTGTGGAGGTACTTTGTAGATTCAACATCCTATTCTGTCAGTTTTCAGTAAAGAAGATTATCCTTGCTAATCTGTGTGAGTTTGAAGAGTAGAACTGAGGTTCTCTGAGTAAGAAGAAATTCCTCCTGTGGACTGCAGCTTCGCTTCTGCCTGAGTTTCCAGCCTGCCTTCCTGACAGCCTACCAAATAGATTTTTGGATTTAATACCCAGCCCGAACTATCATGTAAGCCACTTCCTTGCAATAAATTTATTTACGTGTATCTTACTCCCTGCTGTTTCTCTGGTGGAACCCTCAGATCTTAAAATAAGGAAATATGGATCCTGCAAACTTCCTGTTTTAATTTAATAGTTGTAGTAGTTTTTTGTAGATATGATTTTTTTTTACCTTTACAACCACATGACCAATAGCAAAGGAAAGTTTCATTTCTTCCTTCCAATCTGATGGTTTTTCTTTATTTTCTGTCTTTTGTATAATCAGATTAAATATCTTCTTTATGTCTGGTAGTTATTCTTGTCTGGGAGTCAACTTTGTCTAGTATTAATAAAGCCACTTTGACTTTATTAAGATTAATTTATATGTCATATATCTTTTTCCAATCTGCAATTTTTAAACTATTTGGATCTTTATGTATAATATTTATTTTATATACATAGTATATAACTAGTTCTTGTTTTTCTTTTTAAACCAGTCACTGTTTTTAGTTGAAGTGATTAATACATTTTCATTTTCTATAAGCATTTACTATAACTATTTGACATAGTAAGGTTTATGTTTCAAATATATTGTGTATTTTATTTTCATTTCATTTCTTTATTATTACTTTTGTTTTTCTCAAATTATTTTAATATATTTTAGTATTATGTTTCATTTATATAGTAACTTATTAGCCATTCTTTTTATATTTATTTTGGATCATTACTATAGATTTTACAAAATGCATCTTTAACTTATTATAATCTAACTTTATATAATTTGTTTTACTTTATATAAAACATAAGAATCTTACAAATGTGTCTTTGTCAGTTCAGGCTACTATAAAAAATAATAGAGACTATGATTTATAAACAACAAAACATTACATATCAGCCAGGTGTTGTGGTGCACACCTGGAATCCCAGCAGCTCAGGAAGCTGAGGCAGGAGGGTTGTAAGTTCAAAGCCAGCCTTAACAACTTTGCAAGACTCTGTCTCAAAATTAAAAAAAAAAAATCACAGAAAAAAAGGCTGAGGATTTGGCTCAGTTGAAATATATATATTTATATATTATAGTTGTACAAACTGGAAAGTCCAAGATGAAGACTCAGAAGATTTGGTATCTCCTGAACACGTTTCCCACTTCATATGCGGCACCTCTTGCTTTGTCCTTTCATGGCAGAAAGAGCAAGGACCACGTGTCATTGCATGGCAGAAGAGCTGGAAGGGTCAGACAGTTCTCCAAGGCCTCCTTTATAAGGGTATGAATCCTGTACATAAAAGTGGAGTCCTCATGACTTAATCTCTTCCCAAAGGTCCCACCTCTCAATACCATAATGGGAACTAACTTTTGCCATGAATTTTGGAGGGACACCAACATTCAGACCATAATAGTTTGTTGCAAATGGCAGTTTGTCAAAGGTGTCCTGCACATTTTTGCTAAGTATGCAAGAATGTAAGGATTTAACCCCTGTATGCTCTTTCTGGGCCATTTTTTTTTTAAAGAGAAAGAGAGAGAATTTTTTAGTGTTTATTTTTTAGCTTTCGGTGGACACAACATCTTTATTTTATTTTTTATGTGGTGCTGAGGATCGAACCCGGCGCCCCGCGCATGCCAGGCGAGCGTGCTGCAGCTTGAGCCACATCCCCAGCCCTCTGGGCCATTTTTTAGGGTCATATTTGCAGTAAGCAACATTGAGGGATAAGAATATTTTCTTTTCCTCCCAAGAATGAGTAGGCTTGCTTCTGAATGCTATAAAACATCAGATACCCCCCAGTTCTCTGACATAACTGTGTCACCAATCAGCTCACTGAACAGCATCTGTCTGACTTATTTGTTTTGTTCATCCTCTGATGAATGAAGACTTTTATCTAGGAGTTTCATGCCTTCTACCAACATTCATGTAATATGCTTCTTTATTAGCTTTCCATGGGTTAGAATCTCATACCCTTCACAGTTCCTGTCCCAGTGTGTGATTCCATTCATTTTCTACTGTCCTTTGTGTTATTCTTGTTATATATTTGTCTTCTACATAGGTTATAAAGCACTCAGTACATTGTTATTATTTTTATTTAAACATTTAAGTTATCACTTGAAAACTAAGATACATAAAAACATTTTATGTTTACTCACATATTTACTGTTTCTTCATTCTTTTGTTTTTCTTTCCCCCTGTATTGTGGATTGAGCCCAGGGGCACTCTACCACTGAGCCCTTTTTATTTTGTTATTTTGAGACAGGTTCCCACTAAGTCACTGATACTGGCCTCAAACTTGTGATCCTCCTGCCTCAGCCTCTCAAGTTTCTGAGATCACAAGTGTGCACCACTATACCTTGTTGTTTCTTCATTTTTCATGTGTTCTTGTTCTTCTCACTGTAGAATGGTTCAAACCTAAACAAAAACAATCAAAAGCCAGAAAGGAGTGCTTTCTGGGATCTTTCTGGGGACATAGTGTTACTTTGGGAGGCATGATGCACTTCTCATAAATGCACTGCGGCACTTCCATATCTCTGTGTCTGAATTCTTTCTTCTGTATTATAGCAAGGAATTTCTGGCATCTAAACTTTGTTTAGTGATGACTACCGTTGGGAATCTATGAATCTATGATTTTTGTTTACCAATAAAGAAAGCAGCTAGAGCTTCATTTATCTTTTCCAAAGTGAAAAATGAGTTCCATTTCTGTGGTTCATGTACCTTATCAAGACATGATTAGGTGGTAAATTTAATTGGCATTGTATATTAGCAATCTTCATGGTCAAATCTCAAATTTGATCTTGCTCTGTGACAGCTCACTCTATGGCTTTAAGAGATATGAGATGATTTTTAGCAATGTTATAGACATTCCTTAGGTTTTATTTTTGTCTGACTCAGAACTTAGGGATTTGATCAAGATAAGCCTTGCTTTTAACATATGTGAGGCCGTCTGAAGAAACTACACTATTTAGTAGTCTTAGAATTCTTCATGCCCCTCATCATGTTTATATGCAGAGCCAATGAATTCCACTAAAACCTTCCTTTAAAAGGTAGTAGCAAGTAGGCAGTATGGAAATCAGATCTTTGCCTTCAGTACCATGAAGGCCGATTTCCCAGCAGAAGGTTTGTTTCCCTTTTGAAGTTGTTACCTGGAATCCGATTTAGTTATAGAATAAGCTAGGATTCTTGGTTGTGGGCAGAAAAAAAACTGAATATCTCTATGTAGCAGGAAGAGAATCTATTATAAAGAGCTTGGAGAGCTTACAAATTTGGTAAGAATATAGAACAAGGTTCAGGAGGCAAGCCAACTTAAGCTGGAAGAACGGTCACTAGTTTTTAAAAGGAGAGAAAACTTGTTGTCACCACCAGACTTTATTGCAGCTACCCTAGTGAATTATTTCTGCCTCTCCTTACATCATTCATTTCTGATTCAACTTCTGGACAACAGTGTTCAGTGGAACAATCCAAAAAAAAAAATCTAGGAAGTGTTTATTCATCTATCCTCCATATTTGAAGGTACAAAACTGAGTCCCTGCAATACTGCGTAAAATGAGAACTTCCCCTCCATGTGTTGTAAAATGAACAACCCAAATGAAATGACCGAAAAAATTTTAAATAATTCAAAAACTTGATGCTGTGACCTGAATTCATTTGGTATATTTTCTGGGTAAGACATCTTGTTTTTTTTTGTCACCCTGAGTCTTTATTTCTTAAATTACCCTTTTGTTTTCTACTAGTCAGTGTACTGATGAAGACTATTGCCAAAAAGATTCTCGTGCCTCCTTCAGGAAACTGACTTTTTCCTTTCTTTCTACAAAATGTGATGATTTTTCGTATTCCCTGAGGTTCTGAAATTTCATTTCCTGATAAAGGAAAGGTTTTTATCACTCCTCATGGAGTCTACTCTCAAGAGTGATGGAGTTCTTCAGTTCTCTGATTATTCACTTTCGTCTTTTTCATTCTGCTTTTCTCAAACTCCTCGTAGTCAAATATTGTATATTTTGGAAGGTCCTCATTTAAACTGGTTCAGTCCACTCTTCAGTGTCTCTTACTGTTCTTTTCACTGTTGTGAGTTTCTTCTTTTTTTTTTTTCCAGTCAAATCAAGGAAAGGATGAGAAGCAAATTTTATTCATGATATTCCCATAAAAAGTTGTAAATGTAATAATGTTAATACTTTATTTAGTATTTGTTGGAAATATTTTTCCTGTTTGACCTATCTTTTTATTTTTAAATTATGCTATTTTTACTTACAAAAGATTTTTTTTTAATTTGACAATTTTTGGCTATTTTTTGTGTCACTTTTTTTTCAAAAATTAGAAAGCATTTCCTTATATATATATTTATTTTTATTATCTTCTAATGTTTTGCATTCTGTATGTGATAATCATTCTGATAGTTGGTTGGCTGGGTAGCCAGCACTAATTATTAGAAACACAATCCCTTCTTAACAATTTTTGTATATATATATATATATATATATAAATTGTTATAGATATAATACATATCATATATCATACATACATGCATATCCTACATACATATCATATATACCTACATACACACATACGCACACAGTAGGGTATAATTCCTTTCTATCTCTTCTATTTCATTCTCTGTGTATTTTTATCACAACTCTATAATGTTATATTCCTTTAGATTTAAAAGAAAAATGAGGAGATGCCCCTGACTCAGAATTCCTTTGCACTGCTCTTTAGTGAAGACTAGCTATTGATTTTTTAAAAATATTTATTTTTAGGTGTAGATGGACACAACACAATGCCTTTATTTTTATGTGGTGCCGAGGATCGAACCTGGACCCCACCCATGCTAGGGGAGCGCTCTACCACTGAGCCACCATCCCAGCCCAAGCTATTGATTTTTTTTCCATATCTCATGTCCCTTAGGGGAGTATTTAAATGAATGTCCTCCTAGTGTCACATTATGGCTCTCAAAACAGCTTTTCTTCAGTCTGCAAAGCCCCAGATCCTTTGGACCTTAACTTCAAAAGTTCTTCCTCAATATGCTCCAATTCCTCATCACTCCCTGTCATGTACTTGAACTTTCCTAGATTAATCTCATCTTCTCCAGTTCCACTGA